CCACACACCCATGCTTTCACTTCCTCTGACTCTCTCTCTCTCTCTCTCTATCGTTAATACACACACGGAGATACTGTGGAATAAGAGAAACAAGCTGCAAATTGGCCTAGGTCTCCGCTGGTACAACGCGTGGTATGCGCAATGCGAAAAGCCTTTAATGCCGCCGTTGTCGTCTGCGGATGGCTGAAGTTGGCAGAGGTCCTGCCTGCCTGCCACACGCCATCAGGATACGCGGCACTCGGCGTGCGTGTATCAACTTGTTTCGGTGCGAGTGTGTGTGTGTGGGCAGGAAAGCAAAACACAGAAATGGTTTTTAACTTTCCGGTTAATTAATTTATTACAGCTTAATACGTTCAATGACTTTTGGCGCCCGCCCTCCGCGCCCTCCGTTTGTCTTTGTTTTTTAGTTAATTTATATTTTTTTTATGGGTAGCACGGACCCACTTTCACACCCCCCAGCCCCAACTTTCGGCCACTTTCTCTTTTGGCCGTATTTTATTTGAGGGCTATTTTTAGCCACTGATTTAATATGCGTGCATGCGTGTGCGTGTCTCTCTTTGTTTCGCTTTTCTTGGTCGCTCTCTTCTTTTGGCCACATTTCGTCGCCTCCGAAGCGTTCACAAAGGATACCGCCCACAAAGGATAGCGCCCAGTATCCTGGCTGGAGTGGCAAACACAGCGAGGACAATTTGTATGCGGTTTGTTTGCCATTTTTCACTTAAACTCCGACTCCCCCAAACCAGCGATACTGCACCATTTCGCTTTTGTAGATTTATTTGGGGCCTCTCGAGCGGTCAAGCGTGTCCAGTTTTCTCGAGAGGTTTATGCGTCTGCCAGGATAACGAGACTGGCAGGGGGATAAAAATAAGATAATAAAACCAGAGCTGGGCACCACCGATAAGCGAGCGTTGTCCAGAATCGAACGGGTTCAATGGTTTCCCAGCACGGAATTAAATCTGTTTACTTCGATACTCATTTTATTTATTACGAACACTAATTCCACCCAGGAAACGCAATAATAAAACTGCTTTATTATTTCACTTCCTGGTTATTTATTCAGTTTATGGCTGGGCAGTCAAAGTTTTTCAATTACCAGGGAACGCTGGACTGGGGAAATATCACCCAAGCGAAAATCAAAGTTGTGGTATACAGGAAAAAGAGTATTTTAAATTTATTTTGAGTAGAAAATATTTAATTATCTTTTATTTTCATCACATTCTTAAGATATATTTAATATATATTTTTTGCATACTTGTAGCCATCGAAGTTATTATTATAAAATGTCTAAAAATTACCCATTTGAAGAAAAACAAACAAAACAAATATTGATAACTAAGTAGATAAGTTGTTTTGAATTTTGAAGATAAACATATTTAACTCATCAAATATTAATATGCCAGTTTTAACCATTTAAATTATTGTTCTAGTTCTAGTTCGTCCTTGAAACATCTCAAATCCTCCAGTTAAGCGTTTTATAAAGCCAAGCAGCTACCCACACCCAAATGTTTCTCTTAAATACAAAAGTATTGATTTTACTCGGGTGGACTCGCTTCCGGTCAACATATTTTCACAACTTTTACGCAGTTCATTCCACAACCCACGTTTCCGCATTATCCTCGAAATAGGAAGCGGTGTAGTTCGCACCCCTGGACAGTCATAAATTTATTCACGCAAATGAAGGCACATGTTGGCAGGTTCATGAGCTGGACTCCTCCTTATTGTTGTTTACATTTTACACTCATAACTTTCACCTCGCCCACGCCGAAACACGTGCGATGGCAGAAGCCGAGCAAAATGGAGAAAAGTGTTTTCTAGCCAACACTTTCACCGCTTACCTGCACACACACACACTATTTGATAGTACTAGGGATTCGCTATAATATAGAGTCAATATCTCTTCTGGCTAACAACTGAAACACAGAAGCCCCTCACAAGCTTTCCTTTCAGCATAATGCATTATATAAATATTACGCATACGCCGCGGTGTACGTAAGCCGGAGGTAATGAGTCCGGCGAAAGTAGCTGCAGGCGTAAAATCGCGTGCCCAGCGTCCATTTATCAATTTCGTGGCTAAAAGTGCGAGTTAAAAGCACCGTTTTTGGCTGGCTCACAACCGCAGATAGCACCTGCTGCTCCTGGCCAGCGAATAAATCTTGCACTTCCAGTTGCCTGCAATTAAAATGCAATAAAGGATGCATTTAAATTGCTAAAGTACAAAGTGGGGAATGGGGATGGGCAGGGGGCACCTGCCTCCTTATTGACTTACTCGCTTCCAATGCTCGGCATGCATTTCCGACCCAAGTGCTCAGTTAAATGGAATGTCTGACATGCACCCCGAACCTCAGACTGCTGCCGTGCGCTATTTCGGGGTGCATGCAACTTGGGTTCTATTTCGGGATCGTTTTATAAAAACCGCAAGCCATCGTGTGCCATCACAGAGTCGACATGACCGCCCCAGAGGTGCGATGTCAGGCGGTTGGGAAAGCTGGGGGAAAGCGGAAAAGGGGAAAAGTTGGGAGGGTAGAAAGTGGAAAGTGGAAAAGGTGGCAAAATGGGCAGGAGGCAAGTGGCAAGTGGCAGGTGGCAGGTGGCAAGAGGCAGTCGGTTGCGTCAAGGGGACGGCTGTTTCATGCCTTGCACGTACTCACTGCACTGTCGAAATTCCCTCTTTTTTCGGGCTCATTGTTTCGCACTTTCACCAGTGCCAAGAGGAGCTGTTAAAGAGACACATCAGAAGTGAAAAAAAGGTTAAAAGTGGGGTGAATGGGCCAAGAAAACACGTAAGCAAGCTACCAAAAATACAAAATCCCTACATTGCATATTCTGGGGGAGATTTCTGATAGCGTATTAAAGTCTGTGTTGTTTTCTAAACATAAAAGATACTGGTAAAGGTACTGTTATGGATACTTAGATTTTATTCATAAAATGTTATATAAATTCTACTTGATCTGATCCGATTAATTAATAAAACCATTATTCATAATCTTAAAGGGAAATCCCAAAATAAATGTGAACCCTTTTTTAAAAAAAAGTTTGAGATTTATATTTGTTCAATATATTATATTTCCGGAATGCCCATAGAACTGAAACTTTTAATTGAACCCCCCATTCCAGAAAAGGTCAAAAGTAAAACAAGTAATTAAGCGGGCGATAATTAAATGTTTGCCTTTGAAAAGTTATAACCGCTTTGATGACTTGAGAGCTCAAAAATCCAGCAGCTTCCTCGCTTTTCCTAATAAGTGTTCTTTGGAAATCCAATGCCCGGGTTCCTTCATCGGATTTCTCGAGTCGAAGCTGCCACAGTTTCTGGTTTCCCCCAATGCACTTTAATTGACTCTAAACATTTTGTTCCCTTGCTTTTTTCCCATTTTCCGTTTTATTCCAGCTTTTTGCTGCAATTTAATTGCTCAATTCCGTAAAGTCAGTTGCTGTTTTTAGTTTGCCGCAAAGTTTAAAGTAATTTATGCTGAACCGCAATAAATTGGGGTGGCAGCATAAGAAACTAAGGACAAAGAATGCTTCATGCATTTTTAGCGCAAAAGTTGACCCAAAGTTTGCAGCACTACGTAGTACTATATCTAAAGTGGATTCGCGTAAAAACCGTAGGAACATAACTTGTTGGAAACTTAGAGAGCATTCAGTGGGTGGCTGGGCGTTTGATGTTTGGGTATTGGCAAAACCAAAACATAGCTCCCTAAAGCCCCCGGCGACTGTTTGTGTGTTTTTATTAACGCCAAACAACGGCCAACAGATTTCGATAAGCCAAACACTTATGGCCACAATAAAATGTCGGCCAGTCTTAATGGGTGTCAACAGCACGGCCAATAATAATACACCCGTCTTGGCCGGCTTCTCTTTTTTTCCACAATTTTACGAGCACTTTATAACAGTTTAATAGCCCCAACAATGAGTAGCCGTACACCACCACCTCCCATTTGTCGAAACCGATTGACGCACACTGGAGTCGACCACTCCAATCGGGGCGAACTATAGTATATTGGTTAATGGTGGATGCCATGATGGATATGTCACTATCCCAGACAGATTCCAGGAGACCAAATACCAAGATGTGGTACGAGTGCGGGTGAAGTGACTGGAACTCGTGTCTTAAGCGGAAGTCCTAGCGAGCACAAGTCTTCCTGCTCGCCCACTTCAACTTTCCATCATCATCAGCGTCTCAAGCCGTGATGAACTTAAACAAATATCTGTGACAGCCATCCTCCAAAACACACACATCCCATCCCACATGGTGTTGTTTCACGACTGACTTTCGCTTTGAAATCGAAAGCAGGCTGTTTCCCAAAGAGGGTGCCAACTTTAATCGCTTTTCACAAAGTTGCCAACTGGCTGCCCTCTAAGCCCAGTTTGTGACACGACTTTTAAGTGGCCGGACTTAAAGCCCACAGACGTCATTTCGGTTCGGCCAAAGGTCAAACTTCTGACACGACACCCTCGAGTAAGCTACGAAAACTTGATACTCCAGCAGAAAAACAAACAAGAAGCCAACGCTTAATTGTCTACTAATTGGCATTACAATTATTGAACATTAATTGGCTCAAGAGTTGAAAAACCCAGCTTCAATAGTCTTATACACGAAGATAGATTTATTACCAAGGAAAATAATGAATAAAATATAAATGGTATACAAATAACATAATATAAATAAATTATAAGTAAAATATAAATGAAATACAAATTATATATAATCAAATTGATCTTTAAATTCAAATAGATATCCGATATGTACATTTTTAACATAATTTAGCAGTATTCAATATCATATATTTTATATATAGGGTATATATATCCTTTATAATGCTTAAAAATCACAAGTGGCATCCAAAAGATTTTGAAATAAGCCCCACTTATCAATTATTTTAAATCTCCAAGCATTTTATAAATCTTTTACATTTCATAAAGCTTAAATTAAAGCCTGAATAAGGACAAGAACATTAAAAATATACTTATGACTTGGGAACTTTCTCTCTATGTACCCACAGGTATCCGCTTCGGGCAAGGGCGTGCTAATCACCGGCTGCGAGACCCCACTGGCCTGGTATCTGGCCAAGAAACTGGACGACCTGGGCTTCACCGTCTACGCCGGCTTCAACACGCCCATCGAGGATTCGGACGAGGCCAAGATTCTCAAGGAGGAGACCTCGGGACGCATGAAGCTGCTGCATCTGGACGTTACGTCGGATAAGACCGTAAGTTTACATGTTCTATAGGGCAGGTCCTGAGCTTTTAGCCGTGTTCGCAACCATTATCCTCTACATATCCATTATCCTTAGATTTTGGAAGCTGCTCGCTTTGTGTCGCAGCATTTGCCCCATGGCGCCGAGGGATTGTGGTCCGTGGTGCACTGCGCCCACTGGGTAGCTTTGGGCGAGCTTGAGTGGATTCCATTTGCCGTGCTTCGCAAGAGCTTGGACCTCAACCTTCTGGGTAAGTGGAGGCCATCTGAGTACCAGGGCTGAGGACTGCAATTAAGTATTCATATTTCGCAGGTGCCGCCCGCCTTACCCAAATATTCCTGCCCCTGGTCCGCCGTGCCCATGGTCGCGTGGTCTTCCTGACCTCCGGCCTGAATCGCGTGCCATCTCCCGTCCGTGGAATCCAGTGTGCCACCCAGGCGGCCGTGGACTGCTTCGCCGCCTGTCTGCGCCAGGAGATGCGCACCCGGGGAGTGGATGTGTCCGTGGTGGCTGCCGGAGAGTTCGCCCCCGGCAACGGCTGGCTGAACGAGACCGAGCTGCGTGACCAGGTGAGAAAAGAAGCTAATGGCGGCATTGCACTATTATGCAGAAGCTAATGGTCTGCACTGGGAAAATATTGTATCGAATGGGAAAAAACTAAAAACTATAGTATACATACTTCACATTGTACATTATATAACTTAAAGGAATTAAAATTTGCATCTAATCAGTGATTAAATTAAGATTTAGATCAAGGCTTAGCCGTTTTCCATTAGGCGAGCATTCGAAATAGCGCTGCTCGTTCTTTGCCGCCACACGTACAGTGTACAATTGTACTACCTACTTTATAAACTACGACTTAACGTATTTATCCTCATACAATTTATATGGTACATTTTTTAAAAGATTTCTTGTTTTATAACATCATTTCTAAAATTTGAAAATTATATTTAAATTTAATGTTTTTAACTCTTTTGTTAACCAAAATGCTGGTAAGTCAATGGAAAATACAGAAAACTATGTCGTCCCTTAAGCTCGAAAAAGATTATTTTGAATCTTACCTATAAACTCCTGTTATTTTTCCGCGTGGAACAGCCTTTTCATGCTTTTAGTTTTTTACGATACAATAACTATTCCCGAGCAACCGGGACTGCTAAAACAGTTTGCAGGGAACTCATTAAACTGGCTTCTTCCCAACTTTCCCCTGGCATATTTTCCGCAGGCCAAGCAAATGTGGAACCAGCTTTCCTCGGAACAGAAGAAGACCTACGGCGAGGATTACTACGAGGCGGCCATGACGTCGGTGGAGAAGTATTCGCGCCAGGTGAGAGTACACCCCCTCCCCCCTTAGAAGCATGTGTCCGGTGGCTAACGAGTGTTTAATCCGCACTTTCGTCCATTACCAATTCCACTACCATTCCAGGCGGCCGATATCCAGCCCACGCTGCGCGTCCTCATCGATGCCGTTACCAGGACCTTCCCCATGGCCCGCTACACTCCGGTGACGGCCACCGAAAAGCTGCAGATCTTCCTGGCCGAGCACCTGGCCCCCTCCCTCTACGAGTCCATTTACGGGGAGCAGAAGAAGTTCATCTACTGACCACCCCGTCCAGATCCTTTGTCCACCGAAACGGCCTGATATTGTTATTCGGAAATTGTTATTCATTTATGATTTTCCCCGAAATCCACCATATACCATCCCCCCCTGCTCCTTGGTGCGCGTGAAGGAAGGACATCCAGAAAAAAAGGAAACTGTAGCCGGGAGCACTGTTCGAGGAGCTCCGCCAGTCGATGAGCATTTACGTCCTTCTCTCGATTATTCCCATCATTTTCCCTTCACGGAGGCGTCTCTGTGGGCGCCTGCATAATATTATTTTCTTTAGTTGCTAGAACGAATTGTATAACGATGAATAAAATGAAATGGAAACAATAGAAACCTGAATGTGCCGCTTTCACTTCACTAAATGCATTATTGAAAGAGGCTAAATTGCATGAGTATTTGCTAAGAAATATGTTTCTGCTTAAATGCATATGAATATAAAGATGTTTATTCATTTCAGTATTTAGTTTTGAAATTATTAAATTGCTTAGCAATGAATAAAAGGAAATGGGAACAAATGGAATAAAGGAAATTTTAAGGAAAACATTATTATACTCCATGAGAATTTACTTTGAAATATATTTCTCTTAGTAAGCATATAAACAAAAAGTAAAGCAGGTTATATAAAGTTTTTTATACTTCTCACTAATGACCTTTTCTTGAAGAGATGAAAAAAGATTATAACAAGATAATGCCCAAAATTACTCTGGCTAAAAGCGAAGAGGGAATATTCGAAACTTCCAAAATAAATCAAAAGAGGATAACCTAGAAGAAACTTAACTTCATCAAATTTAAACCTATTCGAGCTTTCATGTTTATTTTTCAAATTTTGGAAACAAACATAAATCAATTATAGAACCGGTATACCTTATGGCCATGTATAATATTGGTTTTTACAATATCTCAATTTCGGTGCATTCCTCTCTTCTCACATTCCTTTCCCAAGGATTTTTCGAATCCTGTTAATTGCTTTTGATTGACATTTGCCGAGTGCCCCGGCTTATCCCTGTCAGTGCATTTTATGGAGCGATTTGTGAGACATCCAGCTGCATAAGCAAGGCCTCTTGGAAACCCCCCACTGCCACTCCCACTGGCCACCTGGTAAACTAAGCTTAAGTGCAGTGGCTGGAGAGGATGGCAGGAGTCAACTTGGTCGAATGACATGGCTGTCGGGAAACTGGGAGGAGCACTCGTAAAAATAAATTCAATAAATTTTTAATGCGTTTGATTCAAAACAACAATGACATTTGCGCCGCCAACGAAGCCAAGGACTCCTCGCGGCAGGAGCTCAGGTGTTCGAAATTCCCAGGCAGCCCAATGAGCTGTTAGAACTGCTGTAAGAGACACCAAGAAGTGCATAACTGGGGCATAAATCTGCCATGGTTGTTAATGTAAGCCGCAACTGGCAGATATACCTGTATACCCACCACCCCCTCAGGTGGCACGTTCGAACTTTTTAGGGGTAAGCTAAGGGGTATAAACAAAAAAGTTGGCTAAAAATACACACCTGCCATATATTTTGCCAGCCAAGGGCAACCAACTTTGACCAATGCTTTCCGCATTTGGCTACCATTCCATGGGTTTACCTTTATCTGTCAGCTTAACCGGTGTTTTTTCACCATATATACTTTTACTCGAACATATTATATTATACGCAGCCATGTGTAACACTTCCTGCGCTTTTGTCGCCAGTCCAGAAATTATCCGCATTAAAAATTTGTCGCATTCTGTGTGTTCGGAATTCCATGCGAAGGATGCCCAAAGGTCCAGCCAAGGTTTCCGATACGAGTGATTGTTCTGCGGAAGCCCCATCTCCTCTACATTATGCCGTTTGCATTTAAACTTCAATGCCTGCCAGGGATTCCAGAACATATTTTATGCTCACAGACCGGAACTTTAACATGGAAACAAACTCTAAATGGCCGGCGGACGACGAGGAAACTATGTTTACTATGTTTCACATAGTGTAATCTCTTCTCTTTTTTTTTTGGTTCTCTAGATTTGTTTCCATCTGAGTGTAAGCATTTCAATGGAAATGGAGATTTAAAACGTCTGGGATGTCGGAAAAGGTAAGGCTGGTAAGGCTAATAAAAGGATGGACTCTGAATGGAAAGCTAAGGCTCTTCGCATAATTAAAAGTTATCTTTAAAGCCGAGGAAATGCTACTGTTGAATGAAAGTCCACTTTAAATAGCTTTCGCTTTCAACACCTAATGCATCAGATTAATAGCACTTCAATTGGTAGCAGGAATTATTCAGTAAGCTTAAAATATTAGAAAATGTTTAAGGTACTTACCTCTGGCTCAATGAAAGTAAAGATGTGCGGGCTTTCCAAATTTTCCAAAGCAAGCAACAACAAAAATGGAATTATTTTTGCCAAAGTTGCTTATCCTTGAAAGTGAAAACTACTCGCAAAGTAGTTTTTATCGACCACAATAAATCCGGAAAAGTAGCCCCAGTCAGCAGATAAAATCGAATTTTATTGTTTCGATAAAAAGTAATTTTCACACATTTATCCATTTATTTACTTCTCTTTTGTTTATTTTTTTTTTTAATTACACATTACAATTTTCAATTGATTCCTGTGGACACAACGTAAATTTAAATTGAATAAAATTCAGGTTTCGATTACCTCTTTGAATAGTGCAGCAAATTGTGCTTGTTCATTGATGCAGCGCAAATACAAGAAAAGTTAAAAACCCTTTTCGTGTGCCTAAAGTGAACATTTATTCAATTGCTAATTGATTTAATTGAGATTCAATTACAGTACATTTTTGTTGCTCCCTAATAACCCAAAGTTGTTTTCGTGTGACATTCACAAGGATACTGCTATGGAAAATATATAATATATCTATTTGCCTAGATCAGATCTATGCTGCAATTCGTTGATCGTCCGCTGACTGAGGTGAGGATAAGGTTATCTAAGACTGCAGATAGGCCTTTGAGGCCCTCTTCAGGATTTGGCTCATACATTGGCTATTGGTATAGGAACAACTAGCGGCTGATAATAGACATTCAAGGTGAGTTGCTCTACGACAATGTGGGCTCGAAAAATACACAACTCTCAGGATCTACGGTTATAGAGATAAAACCCCACATGGTACAACCATCATCCAAATCGGTCGCTTCAAGTGCCGTCATCAAAACGTTTTCCAAAAATACTCCGGCTAGCCATATAAACTCGTACAAATTCCCTATATACATCTCAATACACACAGTTCTTTCGTTTGGGGGCAATGACTCCCTTTAGCAGGACAACTCCGTGGATATCCTGGCGGCATCGCTTCTCGCCGAGTACTCGCTGTCCTTGGGCTCCCGTCCGGTGATATCCACCAATGAATTGGGATCCATGTTCGACAGCTTGTCCAAATCATCATCGTTCATATAGTTCGGCTGCAGTTTGCTCACCAGCTGCCTCAATCGCTGAGCATCCAGCGATGTGCGACGCAGATTGGCATTATAGTCGCTGGGCTATGGGGAAAAATGGAAAATGGAAAAGGATATGGTTTTGGATTTGGAAGAGGTAAAGCCGGGATAAAGGGCAAAGCAACTCACATCGCGCCACTGCTCGCCGGGAAAGACGGCAATCAATTCGGCATTCGGCTCCAGAGTGCTGAAGTACTCCTCATCGTCGACCTCGGTGCCATCGCAATCCAGGTGAATCGCCGGCTGAGCCCGCTCAAATTTCACCGACACCTTCACCCGCAACTCCGACAGCGTGGTGGCCACAACAGCCTTGCGGATGTTCCTCGTGATGTCCTTGATCTGGAATGGAGGCGACGGATTACTAGGAATTTTACGCCGAATTCACGCTCTGTATTGACATGCCGGAAATTGCATAGCTGTGATACAGAAGGCTTAACTAGTGCACTGGCAAAAAAAAAAGTTGTTTCAAATTGTTCAATTTTGTTCCATTTGTTTACTAACTTTTTGTTATGTTCATTGAGCAAAATAGAGTTACCTGTTTTAGTAACAGAAATAGGCCTTGTGTGTCCGTCCGTCTGTCCGTCCGTCTGTCCGTCCGTCTGTCCGTCTGTCCGTCTGTCTGTCCGTCCGTCTGTCCGTCCGTCTGTTCGTCCGTCTGTCCGTCCGTCTGTCCGTCCGTCTGTCGGTAGTAAATTGAAATGGAACAATATCTTATAGTAATTCTTGAAATATTTTAATTTTTTCAGTGTAAAACCATCATCTGAAAAGGTTTTAACGAAAGAATTTTTAACAAATTCCAAGTCTACGCCGTAGGATTTTCAACTAAAATACTTTTCAATATTATGTTATAAAGAAATGCCATGGTACCCAAAATAGTCAAGCTCAAAACCAAACAGGCTTACCTTGGCAAACACTTTAAATCGCTCGTTAAAGCTGAACTAAATGCCTGTTATTTCATCGATGTGAAAGCTAAAGCCCTCAGCCAAATGTTTACTTAGCAGAAAATGTTTGTCATAGTCAATTGTTAGGCCCTCGCACATTTTGTCCATTAAGCTATAGCAACACAACGAAACACAAAAGCCCCAAACATTTGTTTGCTTTAATTTGCGAAAGGACCCGCAAGGCAGACTCCCATTCCACGCAGCTGTCAATAAAAACAATATGAAGTTAACGAAGCGCGGCGACAAAGATATGACTAAGGATACGAAAAGACGGAGGTTAATTGTGATGGTGATATGGTCTTGGGGGCAGGTAGAAAGGTAGATGGAGGTAAAGCAGAGCAGCAGCAACTAATCAATTTATCATTTGCCATAACAATAAAGCCAACGAACAAAGGGAAGGTCAAGGCACAAGTCGACCCAGGCAAACGATTATATTTTTCTACCTTTCCTCTGTTATTTTTTGTTTGCTGGCTGTAGTCAAGCCTCCTGTTGGGCCTAAAAGATTGCTACTGAAATATTTAAAGCATAATGCTGTCGATTCCAAACAGGCTTTCAGGGTCAGGTTTGGATATGGATGGACACGGGTCAGGCGAAAGGTGAAGTGAAGCAAGGATGGAATGGACAATTGAAAGGGAGAGCTGTGTCGAAAAGTTGCCAACGCCTCCATTGTGCAACTATTTGGCATTATACTACGTATACGCCCCGAGTGCCAGTGGGAATATTCTGATAAATTGCGAAAGGGGTGGAGCGTGACTCGGTTTGACAGATCTGCAGGTGTCAAGCGGTCTGTGGTCATTTAATAGCCGCATTCAAAGCGGCGTCATCAGCCACCAAAGAGTCCTTATTCTCTCCTTACAGCCCATCAATCAATCCCCCCGGCCAGCAGAGTGCTAAACCAATTATACGATGCTTAGGGAATCCATCAAATGGCCAATGCCATTTCGTCTGGCAGGAGTCTGGTGTTTCAGCCATGGCAATGAAAATTTATCAAGCATTTAATGCGAATTTCAATGGGCCGTTAAAGCCATTGGATATGTTTCTACTTCTCGTGCTAAACAGTTGGGTTTTTGTATCCTTTGTGAGATTCTGTGGCCACGCACAAACTATTCAATCGGCACCCCTGCCACGAAGTCTGGGCCAAATGCCAATGTCCGGCGGCTTTGTTTGCTTTATGCCACTTTTTCGCCTTTGTTGGCCCTCTCCGAAAGTCATTATAACTTGGCTTTCCTAGCTGAACCATGTATATTCCCGCTTTTCGAGTGGCCGCCGTTGAACTCTGACTTTTTGGTCAATCCCTTCGATTGGCTGCTTTGGTAAATTTAAGTGATATCATCTTGATGCACTTAGTGTCTCGGCCTGATTTGCGGTTTCATTTCGGCTGTCCCGTGAGCAGGTAAATATTTACCCCCGTTGCGGTTGGGTTTTGCGGAGAGATTTGCCCTCGCATTTTTGTTTGCCAGCGTCCGGCGTCAATATTGCCCCTGTAAATTCCTCGTTTGCATAGCATCATTAGAACCGGCGACAAACAAGCCGGGAGCGTGACAAGGACAATGCGCAGGACTCGCAGTTTGCAGTCATGAATTCGCCATGAGACATCTGAGATCTGTGTGTGTGTCCCAACCTAAGGGCTGCTCGGGAATATGTTGTTCAAATAGCACTTAGGTTCGGTCAGGAAATGCAAATTACGGAGAATGCCAGCAATTATAGAATCCGAATTGTAGTCCCCCAATGGCGGAAACCCGATTTTGGTCTAGGTAATGGAAGCCGCAGTAATTTCCAAAGGCCCAAGGTCAGGGCCCCCAAATTGCTTTTGATCAGCCTGCGGTGTCTATTGTCCAGCTCGAGTTGCCCGGCTGCCCGTTCTCGCTTCACGGCGTTTATCGGAGACATTGGGGCACTAATTTCCCCTGGTTGTCATCGGAATGCCATAGCAACACATTATTATAGGCACTTAGAAAAAAATATAGGAAAACATATGTAAACAAAAATTAAGTTCAAGTTTTCTATATCTTAAACCTGGTCCCTATGCGTAAGCGCTAAGCAATCAACCAATTTAGAAAACAAGCAATACTATATCAACGCTTCACTCTGCATAAAAAAGATCTAAGTAGGACTTTAAAAAAAAATCTGATTAACGGTCCCTGCTTTAAAGATACTACAATATAATTTATATTTTAACATATTATACTATTGTTCTTAGGATATTCATGTATGTGATAGAATTACCCAAAATAAATCTCGTTTCCCTAAACACGTTGGAGCACGCTAACCGTCAATGATACAGTAAGAAATCCCTATAAGCAATATTTACATAAGCAACTTAATATCATAGAAATGGTTCGAAAATAAAATAAGTTTAAAATCGTTAGAGCTTCCCAAACAAAAAATTAATAAGGCCGAAACCAGAAACTGTTTTAAAATAAAAGCTTCGTAGCTAGTTACTTATAAAGAAATTTTACTGTATTATCATTTTCAATATATGGACTTTGAAGGTACTTATTTTTCTTAGTGTGCTGTTTTGTTCTCTGGAAAACATCATTTCTTCGAACTCCATGGGCCATGATGAGTTCTTGACAGCATTCAAGATCGTCGTCATTCCACACTTACACGTACTTATTAGCTTGCTTATTACGGAGGACAGCGGGTGTTGTTAAGTTGCACGCTTGCCTGGACATGAATAATGCGCGTTTATTTGGCTTAATGCGCAACGTGGCGTATACGCAATGTCTCAGTCTGCGTCTCAGCAAGGCGTATTCCCAGAAATGTTTGCTTATCGTTTTTGTTTGTTTGTTTGCTTGCTTGCTGATGCTGTTCCAAGCGGCATGTCTGCTGGTAATTTAATTTCCGACCCTACCTTTCTTGGAAATCCCACCATTTGGGTGGTGGCCCAGACTTTCCCTCAGGGGCATTTGCATTCCCCTAAAATGCACATAAAGGTGGACCCCGTAGGTGGACGCCGTACAACTGTGACATGAAAAACGCATTTGCGCGTTAACCCAGCGGAGGAAAAAGGGAAGGGGAATTTTCCTCATCCAATGAGATTTGTTTTACTGGAACTTAATTTCCTGCTGAGACCAGAGATGTGCTGGGCTACCACAGAGTTTCCTTGGGGCAAAAAAAAAAACTACAACCAATCTAAAATAAACTAAATGCAATCAGGGACGTAATGCAAAAATTCTACACCTGTTATGGACTTTAAACTTCAAAGGGAATTCAAATCAATAATAACTTTCTAGAAAACCAAAAACATGTGTGTAAACTTTAAACAAATTATTGAATCCTCTTAGAATAGGTATATCTGTAAACAAGAATTTACACCTCATTTCAATTGCCCTCTACTTTTAGTTGCCCCTTAAGCAAAATGCACAACTTTTTGTGAAGGCAATTTGAAATATTACCAATCAGCGAGCTCCAAAGAAAATCATTTTCATTTAGATGATTGAAGGACCTCTTACCAAAGCTTACAGAAATTCCCTTCGTGCGTTAGCATATTAATTGCTGAAGGATTATCACCCCTTTACTTAATTCCCACTCGCATTCAGTTTCTTGTGCAATTAGTCAAACAGATTAAATCTACAAGCATTTCAGAGTTTTTAATGAGGGACTTAGCAGTACCTAGAACACTCGATAAGAAGGAGAGCCGTGTGGCATGGCAGACAAGAGACAGGATTATTAATTAGCCGAGATCCGCATGAATTACCCATGCCTCACGTGGCAGCACCCCCTTCAACCATCATCAGCCGGAAACGCCACTGACAAATGACATCGCGTTTCGACCACATCAAGCTGTCAATTAATTGCTCTCGCCTGGCAAATTTACAGCCACTTGATAGCTCGCCGAGTTTATCATCAGCATTCACAAGACCAGATGCCGATCTTTTGGCCCGCTTATATTGTTATGGCGGTGGCTTTAATGCCGTTAGCACACAATAAATCGATTAGGGTGTGCAGATGGCGTGGCCAAGAAGCCTCGTTATCGTTATCGCCGCCCACAGGCGCCAGGGCTTAGATGTGGGCGTGGCACTGGAGGTGATTGGCGGCTTGGAGGGCTGATTGGCCAGTCGGCTGGCCCACAATGATATACGAGCCACTTTGGCGCCCGCATGCGGATGCTACTATTTTATCCAGCCGAACAGTTTGAACATTTTAATTAAATTTCAATTGTTGACCAGCCACACAGCAAAAAACGTGTTTTAGAAGGTTGTACGTGACTGGCGTACTTAATATGAGTTATAACACTGCGATATTTATAAACTTGGTCAACCTAAGTCCAAGTCATTTAAAAATTTAATTTTCTTGAAAATATCTAATGATTTAAGCATGGAATATTCAGGTTTGTAAATAGGTTTACAAACTCAAATATATTTCCAAGCCAAATGCTTTTGTAAGGCTTCGAAGTTATTGACCAATCAATCAACCAACTAACAAGACTCCAAACCAAAAACTTCTATGACTTCTGAAAGAAAACTGACAGGCAGATAATTTCATAAACAAACTTGAATATGGAGATTTTCACTTCGTAGGCCTCTTGATTGATGTACACAGAGAAAAGAATACTTTTAGAATCAAGAAAAACGTTCAAAAAAATTTGTCAAAAATGAATTTTCTTGAACCAAGAAACAAAAGTTCTTAAATTCAGAACACCAAAAAATTGATCTTGATTTTAGAAGCCTTTTTCTTGGTTGTAAAATATTCTTAAATGATTAAAAATCATTAAAAATTAAGAATTTTAACTGTGAAAAAATGTAAATTGCATAAATGGACCTAGTGGGTATGAACTCAGGACTGCAATGCCCTAGCTAACCATTTAAAATTCAACCCGTTTTGTAAAGAACAAAAAGTTCTTGAATCAGAAATTTTATATTTGAGCTTAGACCGGGATTTTTTTTTAAACGTAATTAAAAACCATTAAAAATTAATTAAAAACCATCAAAAATTAAGAATTTTAACTGTGAAAAAATTTTAATTGCTTAGATGGACCTAGTGGGCTTGAACTCCTAATTAAGTATTTAAAATTCAACCCGTTTTGTTAAGAACAAAAAGTTCTTGAACCAGAAATTTTGTTCTTGAGCTTAGACCGGGCTCTTAGAAAAAAAAAGTAATGCATTTCTTCATCTGCGACCTTAAAAAATTTGGTTCTGTGTACTAGGTTGGCTACAGCTACGCAATCCTTATAGTCAAATAGAGTTTCGGGTTGGTGAGAGGAGAAGAAAACAGCTCTGTTTTCCGGGAATTTTCCACGCCCCAGCTTTTGGAGGTGGATTGAAAAGTTGGGCGAATGCTTAAAGGGCGAATAAAGCACCGGCAGCAACACTTCAACAGCAGTGCCGATGTCGATGATGCCACTCAGCGCCGAAGGCTTTGAAGTGGCCGTTCCGTTCCGACGGGGAACCCTTCACTTTGTTCGCCCTGACCGTCAAACTTTTTCCCTCAATTTTCTGCGTTTTTTTACTCATTTTGGTTTTTTTTTTTCCTTTTGTATTACGAGCGTAACAAGCGTTACAATAGCGCCGCAGTAATCACTTAACGAAATGCTGGCCCAGTTAACAGTGGGCAGTGGCAGCGTGGCTAAATGCCACAAAGGAGGTGCACGTGGAATACCCACCTTGAAGGGCTTGCTGTTGTCCAGCTGGGCGAAGTCCTCGTCGGCGGTGGTGGGCGAGGGGGTGGGCGTGGAGCTGCTGTGTGGCGATAAGGCCAACTCCAAGGTGATGCTGTCCGCCGCATCATCCACATCGGCATCCAAGTCGATGTCCTCGCCATCCGCATCCAGTTCGGCCGTTCGTGTTAGGGTTCTTTGTCTGGGCGGTGGAGGAGCCACTATTCTGGTGTCGGGATCACCATCTTCAGGACCCACTAATGCTGCTCCTTCCTCCTCCTCCTTGGCACCCTGTGGCATTCCATCCAGCTTTGTCTCATCCGCATTCATCTCTGCCATCTATTATGCTCGTCTCGAAAGTTTGCACGTCTTGTCTGGACTCCTTGCTGCACTAGTTGAAAGAGGCATGGTCCAGAGATTTATGACAAGCGAAACAAATTTAAACGATAATTGAAATATTCTGTTTGGCATCCGGGGATGCTGCAAAGCCTCTGAAGCAAGCATAATAAAAGCAGCCAGACTTTGTGTTATTGTTATTTCAGATACATATGTATGTTGTTTGCATTGAACGGCAAAATTTTCTAACGAAATCCTTGTGTGGCATTCGTTTGGGCTTTGATTTAAAAAAGTTTTTCAATTGCCAAGATAGAGAAGTTGCTTTTGACCAAAATGGGGTCCAAACTTTAGTTGGCTGGACATTGATTTGTTAAATGGTTTAAGAAGAATTTATTGTAAAATAAATATTTAGAGCCCGGTCAATGTACTTTATATACATTTGTCAAGGCTTACTAATGAAGTATTTTTTTTTAATTTAAAATTTATTTACTTTTATTTATTTAACTTAACAGTTCTTATTCCTACTGTTTTAATGGTGTTATTTTCCATTACGTTATTTCAACTGGTTTTTAAGTACCCTTTACAAAAAGGTTAAAAATTAAAAAAAAAAGGTTGTGTATTTAATTAAGCTTTTAGCTTGTAGTTTTTTGTTATTTTAGCATAATCGATTTGTTTGTTACATATTTTAACTTTTTTTTTACTGCTTACAATGTGTTATTTTAACTTTTGCTCTAGTACTCTAAACGTTTTAAGTGCCATTGTAAAAAATTACATATAATATTTTGTATTTGCGTAGTGTTTTTTTTTTTAATTATTTTAAGCACTTGCTACCTTTTGTTAAATTAATCTGTAATAATTACTTATAATATGCATCACTAACCCCTTTTTTATTAAGAGTTTTTCTTGCTTACTTTCACTGAACTTTAATAGAACTATTTTTTTCCATTACCTTTCACCTTAACTCTTGAAAACTGAATTCTTCACATTTTCCGGCCAGGCTCGACCATTGAGTTGCCGATAATTATGGTACGCGATTTGGGTTCGGATCGCGAACGGCCACTTCACAGCAGCCAAGTGCAACAAAAGCCGGCCGAACTTGGAATAAATTGCCAGACGTCTGTGCGTGCTGTATTTAAACAAGTCAGGACTCGTCGCAGGACTCGCATTTGCCGACATCCTCGGCCAGCGCAAAGACACACAGAGCAAAGTCAGAAGGTCCTGCAAACACACACAGCAAAGCCTAACCTTCGCCGAGTTTTGGCCGTGAGAGCACAGGACCCGAAAAGCGTAGAGAGAGGATTCTGTTAAAATGCTGTTAGCCAGTTATCCTGTTAGCCAGTTAGCCAGTTAACCAGTCAGGGCGTGCCGGGCTAAAAACTTGGGCTAAAGAAAAAAGAAAATCCTGGTCTGGGATCGGAATGGCATGGGACACTCTATGACCTGTGAAGTGGGAAAAGTTTACTGGAGCAGCTGCAAATAGTTCTACTTAGGCGGGACCACAAAAAAACCCAAGACAAACATCACTGTGCATAGGCAAAACGGGCGGGTCATGCTGGCAAATATAAATATATTTCAAGCCTGAACTTTCGGGGCGCGTAAGGGCAAAGTTTAAAAATGCAATAAAATAAAGTTGGCCCAAAACTCCGGCGGGCAGCTGAAAAATGTCACTTCGGCATAATGAGACGACGACTACTGCTGGCTGCATAATTAAAATGCCGAGTTGGGGGCAAAAGTTTCAACACAAGGTGCATTGCCTTTGAGGGCGAGACAAAAGCCGAGATTTATTGGCATTTGCATTGTGGAATGTTTTTGGGGAAATTGAATGTTTAAAATTCATGAAATTCCCTTGCTGCATACTGATCGAATTTGTTCGCTTTGGGTAGAAACAAAACCACATAGCCAGATTTTTGAACTGAGCTGGGCTTAAAATGCACAAATATTGCGCATACGCCGTGTGAACCAAGGTTAATTTGATTGACGTTGGCTGGAATTCCAACATTCAACATCGATTGCCAACGATGTACACGTGATGCTCGCTGAAGTCACGTGATGGATAATAATATATCTTTTTTGCCAACTTATCTTCTTTATGCTTTTAAGCCCTGCACTTCAATTGTCATGCCACGCACGGTGTGAATATTTTGGCGGCAAGGCCTTTGGGGGTTTTTGCATAGCTCATCTGTTTATTCGACCTGCTGGGCCATCATTTCCGCCCGCCATTTTCCATTTCCCATTTCACATTTTCCCCCCCGGCGGTGGGTCAAATAATTTATGGGCCGCGGTCCGCTAATTGCGCATTGGAGCGCGGCGCGAACAACTTTTCGCATATGCAGCACTTGCAGCATTTGCCGTGTGGAGCCCCAGCATAGCCATCAATTTAAATGCATAGACGGTGTTGCAAATTGAAATTTATGCGTCTGGGCAGCAAGGTAAATTCCCTTCATCATCAGCTGCCATGTTTAATTGCGATGCATGACCTTCGCAGTCTGGGCAGTTCGGTTAGATTAATTAACTCACATGTCGTCGCAAAGGTCACGCTCGTCGCATATGGCGATGATTAATGGCCCCCGATCCTGGCCCGGACCTTTGGTATTCGGAAATGGCCATGGACATAGATATGGTGGCACTTGTTCGACCAAAAAACTCGTCAAAACACACACACACACACAAGCGGTGCGGATAAATGCCAAATATTTGCGCCTGCTGTCAGCAAACTAAATGAAATTAAATCGAAAAAAATGGCATTTTGATGCGGGCCGAAAAAAAAGGAACGGCAAACATTTTAATTAAATTAAAATAAATGCGAAATGGAAAATAATGAAAGAAAACAAGCACTGGCGTTGGCCTGACGTTGGAATGTATGTAACGAGCAATTACATTGCCCCTTAATGGCATACTTAATTATTTTGTATGTCGAAGGGGTTCGTATTGCCACTTGCTATATATGTGCCCATGAATGTACGTGCGGGGGTGGCTATAATTGGTTTAATGGTTAACAAACCTGTGCGTATTTGCACTCACACTTTATGACCTAATAGGGCGACTCGACATCAAACATGCAGTAAAGTGTACAGTCGAATTGCTGCTCGAACTGCTGACATTCGCCGGCTCGCTCCGCCAGGATGCCCTTCTCCGCCAAGCAATCCCGAACGCAGGGGGTGCCCCAAGGATGCGCCATCTCGTCCTGCAACTGCTGCAAGCCAACTGCCAACTCCTGCTGTTCCTGCGGAAGGTCATTCGCCCGAATGGCCAGCAGCACCAGCAGCTGCATCACCATAAACAAAACGGTTAATTTCATATTTGTGTTTGCCAAACTTACTTAAATTTTCATCACTGACAGCTGCCTCTCAGTCTAGGGGGGGGGGCTTACTGCACTCAAAATAAATATGGTCACTGCTATCAGTTAATAAAATAAAGAAATTATAATGTATATATCTGGTATATACACCTGTATACCTCTGGGTATCCAGAGGTTAATCTGTTGTAAGGGCAAAACTCTAAATTTTCATAAAGAACACTCTTTTTACTGCATCCATTAAATTACTGTCTACTAACCATATTACCTTGTGGAAATATTAAGAAGTATATATTATACACAGAGAAAAATATTTAACTACATTGTTCTTGAATTGAGAACATTCGTTCTTGAAATCCTTGTAAGTACATTTTAGTATTAATGTTCTCAATACTAGAATAAAATGGTGAGAAGAGAAAAGTTAAATTGAGTTGATTTATCAACTTTTTGATAAGTATACACTACTGACTGGACTAATAGTTTATTTTTTGAGATATACAATGTAAATACCACCAATTCAACTTGATTCGAGCAAAATGGAAATATTTTCAACTTCAAAAATGTCGTTCTATTTTTAAGAACATTTTCAACTCAGATGAGAACGTCAGAATTTTCGGTGTGTAGTATTAGTATTATAACTATAAGTCTTAGTACATATTATACTACTATGAAAATCTAGTATTGTAGTGTATTCCTTAGGCACCATTCCAAAGTATCACAATTTTCCCTACGTAATACCTAATTTAATCTGCCTTGTAATGGTAAATGTTTAATTTATTCAGATATACTATATTTTGAATTCAGATATAATATTTTAAAATTATAAGATTTAGTGTTTTATAGTACATTCCTGCAGCACCATCCAAAAGTATTCGCATTGCCCTTATGTGATAATACATTAATATAGCATTATAGTATATAAAAGAACATATGAGCACTTTACTTGTGTAAGACCTAATTTAATCGGCCTTATAATATTAAAAGTTTAATTAAATCAGATGTATTTTGTCTTTGATTATAATTGGCAACATTGATTTCCTTACTGAAAATTTATGTACTATACTTGGCAGTAGTATACCTTCCATTTGACAGCCTAATTAAATGATATCCCATAATTACGTTTTGATGATGATTTTTGTTTGGTGTAGGTGCGCGTACCCATATCCGCACCCGTAATGACTTCCGGGTGGCGAAAGCAAACATCCAAATGAGGCAATCTAAGCACCAGTTTGCGGCTGCCAGCGGCTCTAACTGCACAATTATGGACCGCCCTTGCCGCCCACAGAACCCGCCAATTTCCCCGCCCTCGCACACACACACACACACGTAGATGTATATATGGGTGGGCGAAAAGTGCCACGGGGCGCATTAGTAATGCCCACTGCGGCATCTATTACACAGCGCTTGTTTATGTGCAGTACACACATGCTTTCGAATAAAAATCAACAGCCTGCGGCGGCAGCAGGAGCCCCTTCTCCTAAGGACATTCTGCCCCCCCCCCCCCCCTCGCCATCCCCATCCTTGACATTTATTTGGGGGAAATGTGGGTAAAAAGTAAAATAAAGAAAAATTGTTGAGAATTACGTCCTCGTTGGGGAGAAAAGCGACTCGTTAGCCGAGCCAAGAAAGACTTCTCTTCACTCGATATGTTGTTTGCCCAGCCACGCCCCCTGCCCCTTGGCCGCCTTTTTGGCTGTGAGACGTTTGACATTTGGGCTCAGAGGATGGAGTGTTTGTTTGTGTGTGCATGCAACAAGCCTCAAATAACGGATTGGGGAATATTAAGGATGAAAGAACGGCTGTGAAATCTGATTTTATTTCCACTGAAATCCACTATCGAAAGTTCGGCAGAGCTAGAATCAAGTTATTAGAAAACTTAAGACATTTGATTCATTTTTCCAACGAATTTTGAATATAATTGAACACCTAATACTTACTTTAAAGGAACCCGAAATTGGTTCATCACATTTTTCGTCCAGTGATATAACGACTTAAAAAATCTGTGCTAAATGCAATTTTAATTTTTAAGAACTAACACTGATATGTACGATTTTTAGTTTTAAGTAAATCCAATGTATACACGTTCTTAAAAATGTACCGAATCATACTTGATATTTTTAAAACGAACCAAAAAAAACTTTTTATTTAAAAGCACTCGTATTTAAAATTAGAATGCAAGGAAAAGACTTTCGTTTCTTATTTAAATTAAGAATTTTTCGTTCTTAAACAATCATTCAGAACAATCTCGTCGTACTTACTCTTTTTGCATTTTTCAACCTTTTATCTCAAAATTGTAATTTCGGTCTTAAATTATTCGTACTTCATTGATATTATCCTTCTTGGGGTCAACAAAATTCGGGCTTACCTTATTTTCGAAATCTTTCGTGCTTAATTTGACACCCTATATTTTCTGGGAGTGTAACCTTGTCCAAGAGATTATAAAAAAAAACGATGATAACTAAAAGTTAGCAAAATCAAACAGTTGCCATTCCCAATTTTTTAAACATAGGAGCCATCTATATTTGTTGTCAGACTCAAACCTAAAAAATCACACTCACTTATATTTTTTGACCGAGTAACATATGTACGTATACCGAACCAAAAAAGTAAAGAAATCATAAAACAAAATGAGTGATGAACAATTTTCGGTAAATATAGATGGAATATAATTGTGCTACGACTTCTAACGCTTCTAAATAGCATTTACAGCTTCGGGTGACCGTGGAAAATAATGAAAACGCTTGTGATATGGCTGTAGATCGACCAATGTCACCACCACCAGACGAAATTGTCGAGGCTAGGGAAATGATTGAAGAGCTGCCTTTATTATCCGAATCAGAAGCTACAATTCCCGTGTCACGCAGAAGCGCCAGGAAAGAAAGAACTCGTAAGGTCCTTCAAGATAGATCAAGCGAGCCGAAGGTAAATAAGAAAAAAACCAAAACAGGAAAGGTGCAGAAACCAAGAAAGTGTCGATCCGGTAAACACGTGATTACCTGTCGCAAGTGCGGAAGTTCTGTGATCTGTTTCCCGGTTCGCACCAAATACTATACTTGCGCCGAGGTCGATGGCCAACTTTTTAAAGTCAAACAGATTAGTGCCAAAGTGGCACTGAATTATGTCCTCAAGAAATAGGATAGTTCTCGACAATTTTAACCTTCATTGATGTTACAAGAACAAAATTTTACATAAATAGATCTGTGCAAAAAAAAAAGTTTAATGTTAAATAAATTGTGAAAGAAAAAGAAAGTTTTTTCTCTTTTTTTTAGGGAGAAAAAACACAAATGGTCTTGTTACCATTTATAGAACATATTTAAAACCAAAAGCCATTTTCATTGGCGGAACCAAGAAGCAATTTTGTATATTACCGATATCATTTTCAATGTGAGCGCTCTATCTATCCTAACTTTTGTAACTATTCATGCCCAACTGTCCCCTTATAAGGCGCATCTTTAAACAAATATCAAAGAAATATATTGAGCAAAAATTTCATAAATAAAATATTTATTGGTTTCGATTAAGTTGTTATTATCTTGCCCAGCACTTATTTTAATCAAAAGCACCGGGAACTTCAAAAGAAATGCGAACTCAAGTGTGTGGGACAATTTCTTGGCCAAAACCATCAGTCGCACATCAAAAGCAGTCAAAAACAGACGACAAACATGCGGTTTTAAGTTACATTTTTAATATTTTTCAGCGCTTTCCGCTCGACGATTTTGCCCTAATTTCTTTTGCCCAAGAAACGGAACCAAATAGGATTGTATTTGCCAAGAGGACAAATTAAAAGCGCAGTCAAGAAGGGGCGGGCTAGAAATAAGGGTTTTGCTGGGTGTTAATAAGGGTTATTTGGTTTGCCAAAAGTCAAAAGGATGGAATTCAATTCATCACAGCCAGGGCCACGCCCACAGAAAGGGGGCGCTGACGGGGTGACGTGCTGTCGTCACGAATTTGGGTCACCCGGGAGCTTTCAACTGTGTTAGTAGGGCATCGCAATCAGCTAGGATTGCCAGGACCTGCAAACGTCATGGGGCCGTGACGTCACCAAGGAAGTTGAAACGCAGAAGAGAATATGGCGTCGAGTAATGCAATTAGAAGGCAGGGGGAGCGGTACTCCCACTCTCTGGTTCTCTGTGGAACTCTCTTTTGCCAGCAAAAGAGCAGGATGCACATTCCATACGCCCTGTTGCACACGCTGTGTATGTTGCGCATACGCCCCGTTCGCCAGCCAGGTTAGTTCAATCAACTCTGCTTTAATATTCATTTATTTATTACTTGTTGGTTTCGTGTATATAGTTTGCCTCGGGGTTTTTCTTTTTTTCTATTTGCTGTATGCGTTTCACTATATTTAATAATTGTTTTCTGTTCGCGTTTTGGTTTTCGCTTTCGTTTACGACTTTCCTTATTGCTTATTCGAATTGTAGACAGTTAACAACTTTAATTGGGCAATTGCAATTTCCGTTATTGTGTTCTTTTTTGTATCGTTTAATTTGCTAACAATGTTTGCTGGTACTTAAATTCATTTGGCTATAGATTCCGAGGGGGGCGGGGAGGGTTCGAACCGCTCAAAACCACGAAAAAACCTATTACACATAAATACAGTCAGTCTCAATTGGCCTTTAACGAATGACATTCACAATGGCATTGGTCTAAAAACAATTTTTGATGTGCGTTTCCATTCTACCTACTAATCGTAACACAATTTACACGGCAAGCAAATCAACAGTGTCCAGGGACTCTAGAAATATCCATATCCATATCTCCATATCCATCCAATGCGGGTTCTCTCTGGTGTTTTTTGCCTACGCCGGGGGTTCTACCTCGAATATAATACTTACTGGCTAACCTTTGATTATTATTCATCTAGTACAGCGTGGTGTGGCTTGTGTATATACGGTTAAATACGTTTTTCGTTTGACTGTGATTGCTAAAAGACTGCTCGGATCTGTTTTTTTGGGCCGTGACCCCTTGACCTCCTTGCCTTGGTGTTTAAATCTAGTACGTGTATTGTTCGTTAACTTTCATTTGCTCTTAGATACTATGAAGCATTCTCCTTCTTTGACTCTGTTGCGCTTGATTTTGTCTTCGTTCCGTTCGCTGATTTCGCACCGCCTAATTACATGCTACAAATACGATTTATGTTAACCCAATGTTGCAGGACTGATGTCGTCGGTATATCCCCATGGATCTTGGTTTTGGTTTTGATTTTGATTTTGACTTTCAATTTGAATTCGAATTTGATTTCAACTCCTCCGCCGGCAGACTTCACCTCAGGCTGCCCAAAATGGGCAGTCAGATGTCTCCGTTGGCATTGGGATTCCGGCTGGGATTGGCATTGGCCTCATTGGCCGCCGCCTCGGCAGCGGAGGATCCCATGGCTCCATTGGCCGCGGAGCAGGTGGATGTGGCCTCGCCCACTGTGATCGTTATCGTCGTGTTCTGATTGTCGCACTGCACCACCTCGATAGTGCGGGTATTGCTGGTGGTCGTGGTGCCCATCTGTCCACTCTCCGCCTCGTTCAGCTGGCGTCCGATCTCCCGGTCGATGGCCTCCGCATCCTCCGGATAGCGTTCCGAGCAGAATATGGCTCCGGCCTTGAGCAGCTTTAGCAGATTCAAGCGATCCTCGGCATTCCGCTTGGCACAAAGAGGTCTTGTGAGAGAAAAAAAGAACCATAAGTCTCGGAGAGATTTCGGTACCATAATCATTATAAGCAATATTCAGAAAATCAGAAATAATCATTATTTTTAAGATTTATTATGTATTGTTCAGAAATATTCATCATTCCTGAGTTTTTAAAATATTTATCTAATATTTATTTAAGCGAAAAAATGCATCACAAAAATCTCTAGAGTTTTGAAATCACTTTTATATGTCATTTTAGGTATCTAAAAGTATGCATTCATCGTAGTTCTGAATTTCAAATATATTGTTGCATATTTTTAGACACATAATCTAATATTTTAAAGTAATTTCATAACCCTAGAGATTTTTGTACGGCCTTTCAGAATGATTATGTTTGGTTAGGTTCACAGATTTCAATATTTTTAGTACCTATTTCTCTACCAGGCTATTGAACTCACCTTCCCGCATCTTTGAGCTGCTCCATAAACTCCTTTCCCGTGATGTCCACCAGCGAGTTGGGATCCATGTTGGAGAGCGAGTCCAGGTCGGCATCGTTCATTACGGACACGTTGCAGAGGTTGTTCTGCAGCTGACCCACCAGCTGTCGGATGCGAGCCGATTCCGAGTTGTTGGCATCGGTGGTGTCTCCCTCGCCTCCGGCGGCAGGATCCCCGTTTCCAGTTCCCACCTCGTTGCCATGCGGAGTGGTTATGGTCACGTAGTGCGTGGGCTATAAAGGGATTGCAGATAGCATTTAATTTAATCTCTCATGGCATTCCGGGACTAATGCAATTAGTCATTATGACGGATAAAAGGAAAGACAAATAAAATGAATTATCCAATTATGTGGTGCTCACTTGGAGAAAAAACCATCTAATCCCTAAACATTATAGTGATGGTATCTACTTATATAGGATATCTAAAAGGAAAATTAGATTTGCATAATTGCTTATTCAAGAGATGATTTGGAGGGATTAAACGAGAACTAACGGACAACTAATAAATGGTTTTTAAATATTTATAGATGTCCTGAACATGTCAGAATACTTTATCAAACGAGAAATTAAAAAATAAACAGTCATGGGTGCCATATAAATCACTAGGGTTCTGAAATCACTTTTAAGTTCCATTTTAGGTGTCTAAAAGTATGCAACAATATTTTTTTAACTCAGTACTACAATGAATTCATTTGGACAGTCATTGCATACTTTAAGACACGTACAATGACTAGTGATTTGTGTGGCGCCCCCAATGATAACATATCTAAAAGATCTAGATCCTTTGTGTAAAATAAGCAACTTAATTTCAATTAATTAGTATTATCTCCTCTTCCCCAGTGCAACTCACATCTATCCAGTGCTCTCCGGGGAAGACAGCCACCAGTTCCGTGTTCTCGTCGAGGGTGCGGAAGTACTCCTCATCGTCGATCTCCGTGCCGTCGGAGTCCAGGTGGATGGTGGGCAGGTGGTCGCACTTCTCGAACTTCTCCGCCACCTTGCTGCGAATCTCCTCCAGACTGGAGGCGCAGACAGCCTTCTTAATGTTACGTGTAACGTCCTTGACCTGGCCGTAAAAGAAAAACAAGAACCGTAACGGAGAAAGGGAATAATAAACCATTATACGTTTACAATTACGGAAGCAGCAGCAGTAACAGTTACACATGGCCCTGCTCATCAAATGAATAATAAATTAATGTCAGAAGGGAAACAACTGTGTCCCTATAAAATATTCACATCGTCGGCACCCAAAACAAAAATACGAATACGAAAAAATACAGAAATGGGAAAAGTTGTAAATTTACTGCTGGTTTGAACCCTTTTTCTTGAGACAACAACGTGAGTTGAATGGAGAAAGGGAACTTTGCAAGCAGGCTATATATATCTTAACACTTAATTATTTAGACTTTTACTCCATTTCAATTAAATTCTTTTCTCTTATTATTATTATTCAAAAGAAAAAAACATGTTTTGCTATATACAAAATAAATAAACAATAATCCACTACGTTGCGAGCCAGATTGTTTTCCATTCCCCGAAACATCACAATGAATAAATGAACCGAATATTTGCGCACACATCATGTCCTGCTGTCAAATGTCCATTTGCTCTAATTGAGATTTATGGACTGGTTTTACTCCCCGGCCGGGATGTCATCTTAAAGTCCACTTTGTGCATATTTCAGCTGCGAGTGCTGTGAGCTCTGTGTTTTTCAGTTTTTTCTCAAGCACTCGAATGCCGTTTGACATGCACTCTACTGACTGCGGTGCAAATATTTGTCGTTTATATCCCCCCAACCCCTTGGCCCGATTCCTGGCCATATCCTTTTTTTTTTTTTTGTGTGACAAGTTATGCATGTCAGCATTTTTCATGCTGCAGGCTCCTTCGCGAATGCCATAAGTTAGGGCTGCCTTCTGAGTGCAAGGACGAAGTCTTCGCCAGGCTCTATTAAAATTGCATGCGATGTTAAATGGTGCCTCAGCACTAAGGTTAAACGAAACATAAATTAGACCTGGCCAGAGAGCCACGAGATGGATCTTAAAGGAGGAAACGAGGAGGCACGACTGCATTCCTGCTCGAATTTATAGCCCCGAAACGGCGGG